TTGTGTTGAGATTGTTATTATCAATCTTATCGCCGATGCTATCTAGTTTCTTCATGGTCTTCTGCGCAATATGAAGACTTTCGATCACTGTGCTGCTTATATCTAGAATATAATCTAGTTGCAGGTCCTGAATTGCTACATCTAATCGTAAAACCAAATCATCATGATATTCTAACGACTGTATATTAATTAATTAATGGTTATCAATTAGCATTTATACATGTACATGCAAAATTCAAATAGTGCAAGTTACAAACCTACATCTTTAGCATTTAATAATCTTTTAATTTTTCTTAAAAATATCTGGCTAAAAGTTCCTGGTTTAACTAATTCTTTAATATACTGTTCAGCTTCCTCTAAAATCTCTTTATAATTTATATATGAAGTATGGATCGCAAGACTCGCATCTTTTGTTGGTGGATTTTCTTGGATTCTTATTGTCGCTCTTTCAATTCTTGAAGATAGGTCTTTACAAACTTCCTCATGACGTTGAGCATCTTTTGCCATGTTTATAATTTTATTTGCTACTTGACAAGCGGCTGCTGCAATCGGCAGCATTTCACCAACAGCGATGGCAGCTTTAAAAGTTCCAAAAGCTGCTCCCTTGATTGATGATTGGCCATTCCCAGGAAACTCCGAAGACATGTTGAAAAATTTAAGAAAAAATAATTTATAGGAAAAAAAATAATAATTATTACAAGTTTTAAAATACAAATAGCACACAGAAAAGCATTTACATGTAAGTACGAGGGAAAGCAAACTCCTTTTTCAGGAAACACTTTTATATAATCACAATAAGGATATAAGTGTATGAATACATGTATCGATACTGGTATCCTTTAAAAATTTGATATTTCTTTGTGTTGTCAGAACAGACTATGCTTGATATAGTAATAACATTAACACAACATTGTTACATTGTTAGTTAAACAATGCATAACGATTGTTTCCGAAACTAATAGAGTTGCCCACTACTAAATTTGGAAAATATGAAAACCTTCATGTAATCCATCCAATAAGGATGAGCAAAGTTTTGTCGATCACCAATAAGAATGCACAAATTTTTTAATCGGCCTAGCAAAGTAAATTCGACACAAATCTGTCTTAGAATCTTAGTTAAAAATATCCGTCTCTAATTCTAACCTTTGTATTGATCTTATAAATCAAACATAAAATATATTTCCAAATGAGGGGTTCATCAAAAGCAAGGTATCATCACGTGGTAATCTACCAATCCAATCGTAAAGATCATGTGTATCATAAGAATTTGTAACAGCTAGAATTTATTATGGACTTTTACAAATGCTCAGCGCAAAAATTAGATGTAATTCTATTTATTTGGTAACTTTAACCCTAAATATGTCTTTATAATGAAATTTCTACATCAAATTTCCAGGCTATTGATAATCACATATTTCCTTATTGTATGTAATCGAATGCATGTATTTTAAATCAGAAAATGATTGAATCCCGAAAATAATTATTTAAAACATAAGTCCTAAGTTTATATAGCGATAGGGCTTTTCAATATCGAAAATACCTTCCTGAAAAGAAAAATTTTAGAGGATCCCGTTAATTCAAAAATAATGACGTTGTAATGTTTTTGATTCTTCAAATTCCGAGATAAAGATAAAGACACAAGAAAAGCAAAAGCGTTTACAATTAAAACCTATATTATAATAACTTTACGCGTGTACATAAATATCGTATCACATTCTTATATATCAATTATAAATGATCGATTCCCTATTAGTATTCAAAACACGAATATATCTATAATCCATATCCCGAATTGTGTCGAGACTGATGGATGGTATTCACCAGTTCAACAGGTAGAACATAAACTCGAATTACCGTTAGTTTATATACGTGTTCCATATTGCATGCTTCCGAAAGCGGTTCGGATCAAGTTTTTTAATTTTCTCTAATAAATATAAAAAAACTAAAGATTTTGTTTCGGAATCAAATCACTCAACCAGCATGTCAAGATACTTTTGAACTTAAATATTAATAGCAGTAACCAATTGTCTCCAACCGCTGTTGCTTCATGTATATTCATTATTAACAATACCAATATTAAATCAACTACATTTTTACCCACCACTCGATAACAGGAACAAAATTATTTAGTTATTATCTTTTCTCTGTTACCAATCTTATTTTGACTCATATTTATATCTTAGATTTTGTCAGGCATATACTATTGGTGATTATAACAAAATCTTCCAATGAATTATATACATATTGTTTAAATAAATTTATCTTTATATTTGTCATAATATTATTTTATTGATTACGTATTTTTATTAATAAATCTCATTGCTATTAGCATCGTAGACTATTTAGAATTTAGTTTTATTATCATTTGAAATCTCATGTTATTGCACACATGTAAAATAAGTCACAAAATACGCTTCAACGCTAGAAAACAAGTGCTGACAGCCTTTAATAACGCAAAATTTTTTCAAGCGCTCTTGGGGCGAAAATCGAAATTTCAATAATATTGATTAATACTAAAAGATTTTCCATAAATAATAATAATAACAATATAATAAAAGTTTAATTTCTTTGGAAATCTGTATTAAATTAAAGACGTTGAAATTTCATGATCAATTTTTTTTGAGATTGAATGTGCATAAAAATATAACAACGATAACTTCTAATCAAATAACTGTACGCAAACAAAATATTTTGGTAAATGAAAAGTTTGAATTTTTCCATGTCTTTAAAAATCTGTAGTATACGTACTGTAAATACAAGCTTTCAGTTTTATATTGAATATCCCAAAGTAAGTTAGTTTATTAGCTGTTAGATAGAGTTGATAATGTCGTAAAGTCTGTCTGTTTTCCGGAATAGGATCTCAATCAACAATACACCATACCTTTATAAATGCCAGGGACAAGATCTTTATCATGATTTTTCTCAACAAATGGTCATCTCGTACATAATCATCCGTGAGCGTATGGCTTATTGGAAAAAATGATTTGATCATATCATAAAAATGTATATTTTTATCTCACTTATAAACTCTTAAGGTACGAAATATTCTCTACTTTGATTTTTTATATCGTTTAAATTTATCGTGACTCCACTCATCCTTTAGTGTTCCGTTCAACCAGGTTGCTTGATATATCTTGCAGCACCTTTTTTGTAAGATAATCAACTTTTTTAAATGGGATCCATGGGAAAACATGGAGTGCGATTGTTATATGGAGGCATCACTATAGTTCTCCATTTAATATTTGCTGAGCAGCCAGGCCAAACTCGTAATTTATCATGCGATCCATGTCCATTAAGGTATTCAAATTTTTGATCAACCAGAAAAATAATCTGACACAAGAAAAACCGATGCCTAAATCTGTTTTGGAACATGTAAACTTAAACTTAACCGCTCTCCAAACTCGGAAATATTCTAAGGTCATTTTTGGAAAGTTCTTGATTATTCAATTACTGTGTTGTCAACATAGATCCCCTGTAACGTTAAGTAAAAATATGATGCTTAGGTAGAAGCATTGATATTTACGGTTCACAAACTGGTGTGGCAGAAAAGCATGATTATTAGTTGTTTTGTTATCATAGATTTTCAGATAACAATTATCATCATATATTACAGTATATGTATATATATAGAAAAAATCTATTACTATATAAAATAAAAAAGATTTAAACTAATCATTTGTGTGTATGTGCGCGTGAGATTTTATTTTAAAGTTCATTTGAAATAAGTTTACTTGGATTGAAGCATTACTTAAGATAGCTCACATCCAGAGGATTTTCAAAGCTCATATGAACTAAGTTACTTAGGCTGAAGCGTCACCTAAGTACCGTATTTCGCATTCATGAATACTCCTTATATTATACCCGTCCCCTTTTTTACTAATAATTTTCTTTTTTTTTATTAATTAACATTACCTGTGGAATATTATATACCCGGGTATTCATGAATGCGAAATACGGTACATAAATATTTTTGTTTACCATTACGTCATGTTAATGTGTTTATTATGAAACGCGTTGCGCCATCGATTGGATGATCTATGAGAAATTTATCAACAATAACGACGCGACATTAACATAATTGCACGTATTTAGCTCCTAAAACGAAGATGAAAGCTTTTCCAATTATCTTGTCTTGAATAAGTCGGTCGTCATATCTTTTTAGATGTCTGAGTGCTTTGTATTTTACGTCGTATCTGAGGATTAATATTAAACTTTCGCTTGATTTAGTGAAATTATATATCATTTTCTCGATAGGAAGCTATAGTAAAAGATTTCTTGACCTGGTGTCTATCTATATGTATTAATTTTTTATTTCAGCAGGTCTACCACGACCTCTCGAGCGCCAAAATAGTCCAACATGCCGACACCCAAAATTCCGAATGGTGTAAAATCCCCGACAGTTTAACATTCCGAATGGAACAATTCAAGATCCAGAATGGTTCAAAATTCTAATGATTTAGGATTACAATTCGGCGTCTGGAAATAAAAGCATAGAAAGATTGTGAATGTACAATAGCGAGTTTTTAGTCGGGTAGATCATTGAACATGGTAAATTTTGGCAAAACAAAAAAATGAAAACTATGAAAACTGAAAAATGAGGGAAACGGATACCTAAATTTATTAACATAGCCTAACATTAATATATAAAATTAATATTGAATTCTTACAAATCTGTCGATTATCATTTCTTAAGGTAACGCTGTGTTAGTTATTCAATTAATAGTACAAAACTGTCGGAATCTTGAACTGTCGGGATTTTGGTACCGGAATGTAGGGGATCACTTGGTAATGATGTTAAAAAGGGCTAAAGTTCAAATCCCGAATCGAAATCCCAAATGAAGATCTGTAATGTTGCTCAAGAAAACACCCCAAATATTTAAAACGTTAGAAGAAACTTACCTCACATCAATATTCCAATTCCTGGTGCTTCTTCAATTCTTTAATCCAATTTTGGCATTCACTACTAATGCATTCTCCTCATCTCGGAATTTTGGCATTCTTTATTTGTTGTACCAGGCAACAACTATTGGTAAATTTCGATCATACCAATTTTGTGTAGCGTAGATTTCACGTAATTCAGAACGGGCCTTCCTGTCAGGAGGGACCAAATCCTTGTCTGTAAACATCTGCTCTGGATCAACAGTTTTACAAGCCTTTTTAAGGCTCACCTTCGATCTTAACTTGATCTGAACATTTGATATGATAGACTTTCATTTCGTTGCTTCTGGAAAGAAAAAGGTCATAGAGATATCGCTGAGTTGGGTGGGAAACATATTGACAGAATTCGTCAAAAACATTCACAGTTTCCTCCCATATTACCACTGTACGAAGCCATTTAATATAATCTCCAGACGTAATGATTTCTATAGATATCAGTCCCACATTTTTTATTGTAAGGTAGCTGGTGCGGTTTTTTAAAATCAGCAGGAACAATTCTTCATGCGATTATAAAGCTCTTTTGTTTTTAAAAGTGTGTCTCATGCAGAAATTCATAATGCACTTCTTCCAAATAAGTCCTGGCGTGGTCGCATTGTAACTGACTTGTTACATCAACTTAAACCACATTTTGTTTAGATCTTTGCTATGAAGTAATTGTGTCCAGCTTGAATTGCAATGGGTTCGTTGATGATGGCCTTATAATCTGAAGTGTTTCTTAAATGAGCGAAATCTAAAGACATAATGTCTTCTCTTCAATGTTAACAAATGTCGGATTTCCTGTAATGGCATATAAAATAATCGTTTTTTCAACAGATCCAACATGGCAACACCACCGATATAGGGATATTGTTTTGAAAAATGTTCTTGAAGACTTTCAAAGTAATGATATATACTATATTCTTTGATTGCCTGGTATTCAATTCTCGTAGGGCGATCGACTAGAAAATCTAATTGCTTTAGATGGGTCGTAAAGATAAGGAGTTGTTATATCTGACCTGTTAAAAATTAAACTTTAAGAACCGAAATTGGATCAACAATTCAGTGTGACGTACAATTTAGTCATTAATGGCAGATGATGCATCCTTATTCCAGTGGAATTATATCATTTACTGTGTCAAGTATTTGTTCTGAGGGTGTCAATTAACTAAAAACCGGGATACTATCGATTGATGGGAAGATTAATCGAGTTATCCAAAAAGCGTTGAGACTGACAAGCTTAACTTACGGTTTTTCATCCTTTCCCCTCTTAAGAATACTTTTGTCTTCAATAATGATAGGCCTGATCCCGATATATGAACAATTACATTTGGTAGCTTCATGTATAAACCTGATAAGCACTGAATGATCATGGACCTGATCTTTGTTTGATATCTTTAAGATAGGAACGAGTTTGATAAGAAGGTGGTGTGAACTTGAGCTTCATCATAAATGAGTGGAAGAAGTTCTTAAAACTGAGTCTTTTTAATATCTTTCATAATCTGTTTCATAATATTAAACCGTGTTCTTGAAGTTACTCTTGTTCACATAAAGTAATATTGTGTATAGATAGAGGATTATTGGATAATAAAGTTGACATAATAATCAATATTTAGTTTCATTACTAAGTTAGACTACTTAGATCTACAGTGCCCATCAAAAGTATCCTCTCCCCTGTAATTTCCAAACAATCACATGCATGACACTATAATTTTGCATGCATATAGTATAGTTTAAATATAGATCACATCTGCATTTTAGGGAGTTATACATTAATAAAAAATGAAAGTTCCATTATACTCAAAAAAAGATCTAAAAAAATGCCTTTAAATTTAAGTTAATAATATGAAATTGTCTTTTTGCACATCCACCCAAAAGGTTCCAAGCTGTCAATATATGAGATAGCTGAAACAGTTTGCAGTAATAAAAAAAACAATCTGTTATTGGATTCAAAGATAAGAAGAAAATCAAGACTTGAGTGACAAACCAAAGACAGGCTGACAAAGAGTAATACTCAATAACAAGACAAGTGGATAGTGAAGCTTACAAAAAAAATTAATATAATAATTCCAGAAATTCAAAAGAAGATGATTAAGCAGAATGTTAACATTAATATACATATTATACAATATTATCTTCATGAAGAGAAAGACAAATACATAAGCAAGTTTTTAAAATTTCTTCTCACAGAGAAATATTAGCAAAAATAACTGGAATGGGTAAAAAAATATAGGAACTTTGACTGGAACAAGATAATTTTTTTGGATAAAAGTATCTTTTATCTAAATCAAGATATAAATAGACTTGGCAGTTTCCTGAGCCATTTTGTGAAGTATTCTTTAAAGATCTATATATATGAGGATATTTTTTATTTATGAACTTTGACAAGCTAATTTGCTTTATGAGAAATCTTAATACTAATTTCCTGTTAAATATATATAAAGTAGATCTTCTGCCATCTGCTGATGAACTTTTTGGTCAAGAAAATGAATAGTGAATTATTCAAGAAGATAATAATTCCAAGTATTATTTAAAAATTATAAAGATATAGAAGAAGAAAATAAGTATAAAGATTCTCTCATAGTCATTAATATTTTCTGATCAAAATCTAATATAACAATATTAGATTAGTTATTAATAATTATAGTATATTTATTTTTTATTACACAGATCATTACTGCACCATATACTACATTACATATGACTTACTGTACTATAACTATCTGATCATGTCAAGAAAAGTTACCTGATTATTTTGAGTTATTTTAGCTATAGATAGTTTCTTAGTAGAATTTCTCTTTTCTCTTGTTCTACTAATTTA